TTTCAATTATTCATATGTGATGAAGCCATGGAAAACATGAGGGAATCTTATGTGTATATAGATATATTAAATAGGACAGTCAGAAAAAGACTGACACCGTATTGTTCTAATTATAGCTTATCTTAGAAAAGGCAAAATTATAGAGATAATAAAAAGATCAGTGGTTACCAGAGCTTTGTAGGGAGATGGGAAGGATGAATAGATGGAACACAGAAGATTTAGGTAATTTTTTTTAAGATTTTATTTATTTATTTGTCAGAGAGAGAGAGAGTGATCACAAGCAGGGGGAGCAGCAGGCAGAGAGAGAATCAGGCTCCCTGCTGAGCAAGGAGCCCGATGTGGGACTAGATCCTAGGTGCCTGGAATCATGACCTGAGCGGAAGGCAGACACAACCGACTGAGCTACCCAGGTGTCCCAGATTTAGGGAATTTATACTAGTCTGTACAATACTGTGATAGTAGATACATGATGTAGTTCATTTGTCCAAACCTACAGAACATCACGACAAAAAGTATGCAAATTAGAAAATCGTTAAGAAGTTAGGTCATCCCACGAAGGAACTTGACACTGTGACAAGAGATTCTATCTGTTACAAATGTTTGAAACAACCTCACACAAGGGGCTGGGGAAAGGTGCTCATCTAAGTAACTTTGGAAATGGGTGGAATCTGTATGACCAAAACCAAAATGAATGCAACTAAACACTGCTTTCTAGTTGATAAAGTTGTTTTTCAGTGTGGTATACAGGTTAACAATTCTGATGCTGCTGTCACAATTCTGGTACATGTATAAGCAGCTGAACGTGTCAGTAGATAGATTCCTCAATGTTAAGGTGGGACTTTACAGATAAGCAAATTGAGGAGGCTAGAATCATCCACATGGTAATGCATTAGAGATGGAGACATCAGTAGGAACTCATGTTTCACTCAATATGATACAGCTGGTTACACCTAGAAGTATTTGTAGATTTTCATGCATAACTATACATTTGCATATATTTTCTTGCTTAGGCACTGAAGCCCCAGTGGTTAATCAGCACTCTGAGCTCCTAAATTGTGGCTTCTAATACCATTCTCAGAAACAAAAATAAAACAAAACAAAGCAAAAGAAAGAAACAAAAACCCAGAGCTCTTGGGAGAAATGGTTGATTCCAAGACTGGGGCAGAAAATATGCAAAATGAGCCCGCCAATACCTTGTGGTGTCAGAAAGTAGGGAAATGCTGAGCACACACAAGTGGACACTCATGGGGGTGTGTCGGAGGGATGCAAGGGCCAACTGAGAGAGCTCCCAATAGCCAAAACAGGAGCCATTTGACCAAAAAATAAAGTTACATTGGATTATAACCCAAAGTATAAAATAAATAGGCATGAGTACTTACTGATAACTAAATGACTGCATAAATTAATAAATGGTAGAGAATTCTTGTACCAAATAATTCAGAATAATGTATAGGTTCTCCATCCTACAGAAAGGGGGACTTTCTACTTATTGAGTGCAGGCTGCACATAGTGATTTCCTTCCAGAACACAGTATAGAAAGGGTGGGGGACTCTACAGTAGATAAATCTGAAAAATCTCAGCCAGGTGATTAAGTCAATATTAACAATGATAAGTCTTTGAGAGTATATAGCCTTGAGATGATGTCACAAAAATAGCATTTTATTTCTGTGTTTTTCTTTCCAGAAACCTGTAACTACAATCTACTTATGAGACAAACATCAGACTAATTCCAATAAAAGGGCATCCTCCGATATACCTAACCAGTACTGCTTTGTATCTGACTTCAAAACTGTCAAGGAAAAACAAGGAAAGTCTGAAAACCAGTCACACTGGTGAAAAAACTAAGAAGCCACACAAACATCCTTCTGGATAGGATCATGGAATGGAAATAGGACATTAGATAAAATCTGAGAAAACCTGAATAAATTATGGACTTTAGTTAATTATGTATTGGTAGTGCTTTGTTCATTTTAACAAAGGTACCATTACTGATAAATGATGTCAGTAAGGGGTACCGTGTGCCGAGGTATATGGAGACTCTGTACTATCTTCCCAACTTTTCTGTAAATCTACTACTGTAATGTAGTTATAAAAACACGAAGATGACTAAGAGATGATCTCCATTCTCGAGGAGCTCACAGTCATTAGACAAGGCAAAGCGTCCATAAGTTATAGTCAAGTATAATGAGTTTGTGATAAAAGGAAGCATGGGACCTTGAGTGTTCAGTGGAGGGTACCTGACAGCGGCCGGCAGGCATAAGGAACCCTGGGGAAGAGAGTGATTCTGAACTGAGCATTACAGAATCAAGAAGTCAAGAGGAAATGAAAAATGCAAGAAGTAATGGGGTCTAACCTTTATCACCGGCATCAAGAGCAAATTCTACAGACGTCTACAGCCACCCCAACTTGGATTGCAAGTCTCCATTCCTGCTTTATCTCCCACCCCCTGACTTCACAGTATAATTAACTCTCCGATCAGCGCCTATCAAACGTGGATCCATTGATCTCCAAATTCTTGTACTGTCTGGCCTCCTCTGCACATGTTGCCACATGGTGGATGGTGAGCACATTTTTGTCTCTCTCTCTCTCTCTCTCTCTCTCTCTCTCTCGAGATTTTATTTTATTTCGAGAGAGAAAGCACGTGAGCAAATGGAGGAGGGTGCGAGGGAGGCAGAGGGAAAGAGAGTCTCGAACAGACTCTGCGCTGATTCGCAAGACCAACAGGAGGCTCGATCCCGCGACTCTAAGACCATGAACCAAGTTAAAATCAAAAGTCAGATGCTTAACCAATTGAGCCACCCAGGCACCCCTACTTTTTTGCCTCCTTAAAAGGCTCTGTAGTCTTCTGTACCTGCACTGTTTCCCTAGTCCTTCAAAATTCCCAAACCTTACCAGGTTATGAGTTCCCTCCCTTCTTCAAGCTCAAAGCATGTTTACCATACTCTGACTCTAATTTGAATACTTCTACCCATTCACTTTCATTAAAATATTGCACAATAACTCTGAAATTATTTATATTTCTATGTATTTATATATTCCTTTCATTAGTTATATTCCTTAATTCTCCAAATAATGGGTTTGTCTTGGAATTTGCATTTTGGAATGATAAGACTCCTCGACTGTCATCTTTCTCTTACTTGTTCAAGGGAAAAATAGGAACTCATATTTATTGACAATTAGTGTATCAGGAATTAAGGCATGTAAAATATGTCAACTTTCCAGATTCCCCCAAATGCCTCTGAGCTTAATATTATTATCGCTGTTTTCTAAAACTACAGGAGGTCACTGGGGCTACAATGCCCACACAGACATCTACCAGAATCCTGAGTGTGGAGTCAAACCAGCACCAGAGCCCAGGCTGTTTTGGCTCCAGCCTGCGACCATCTGCGTGCAATCTAGGGGACCCATAGAGGCAGATTCATTTCTCAACATTACACGTCTCTGTAGTGTCAGGGCCAGAGTGATTCTCAGGTCTGTGTAGTGGCCATACTGCTCAGCTAGACCTATGACCTAAAGCAATTGTGCAGGACCCCAGTTCATCAGTTTCCTCAGTTTTATAATGGGGCTGAAGAGAGCACCTACCTCATAGGTTGCGGTAAGGAATAGAGGAGCTCATGTTGCTGCCATCATCGTTCCTGTTAGTACTCATAGCTGTCATAGGACTTGTTTTATTGGTGTTTTGCTCTTTTTGGCCTCTTTGGCACAGAAAACATGCAATGCTTGTTTGTTTTACAGTTTCTGGTTTTACTTCTATGACAGTCCTCTCGTTTTCCAGAATATAAAAAATGAAATGGTATTTAACTTTAGTTCAAGAGCTTGACAGTTGAGTCACGCTTTAAGAAAAAGAAGGGTGTCGTTTAGGCTGTCAAGAAAATATGGGGATTGTCACACAGCTTTGGGCAGGTGGAGACAGGGGCCGAGCTGGTGCCCGTAACCTTTCTCTTCCTCTTTCCAAGCATCATTGTGCACCAAGAAAGGGGACACTGACCTTGAGAGCACACAGAGAAGAGATACTATTTCAAATGAAGCAATAAAATGTGTAATATATGTTAGTAATTAGAGAAACTGTTTCACTCTCTTCTCAGGTTTAATAGCTTCTCAAAGATGGTGAATAAGTTAAGGGAGTTTTTTAATATTCCTCCGAAACACGAATCCATGTACAACCTTGTATTACATAATTAAAAATGTCTTTGATCTGAAAGTCTTAGATTTATCCTCGCAAATTAAGTGTTGAACATCGGATCTCCCGGTTTTATTCATAATGCAAACAAGTAAAGGCAGGCAGGGCCACTTCCAGGGGGTCCTCAATACAGAGGGAGAACCGTACCTTGATTCACATCAAACACCATCATGTGTCATCTGGGAAGGAAGGCTGATGGGCAGCATGAGAGTTACCTTAACTCTGTCCTGATGAGAATGGGAGATACAACTTAGACGTCCGGGGAAAGTACACAACCATATACTCAAATAGATCCATAACGCAGAAGAGGTGGAACTCACCAAAGACATCTCTCTACTTTGTGAAGTCCGTGAGGCTGTCCCAGCACCATCACCTCCTATAACTCTGCTGCGAATACTAAAAGGTATCGCATGTGAAAATACTTTGAAAATAAGAAGTGTTAGAAGTATGTTTGTTGTGTTTTCATTCTTTAAGTGGGCTATGCCCATGGCAGAGCGGGTAAGTGTCCACCTGACCATTTGTATGGTTTTATGAAAAGAAATGGGATGTTAGCAGTAATTTAGATAAATCCAGTAGAGAAGTAAAGATTTGTTGGGAAGACTAAGTTTTTATTTTCGATTAATAAAAAGGTGCTATTAATACTGAAAGAAAATATTATCACAACACAAGCTTTTCATGGAGTTCATTTAATAGAGTAAGATATCACCTGTCATCTAGACTGATGGGTAGTGCTGATGACATACCTTCCACTGTAAGGATGCTATGATATTTAATGAGTGAGCCTAAAAATCAGGTTAGTACAGTTGAGGGGAAAAAGTCGTGGAGATGCCAGGGATCGAACCTGGGACCTTATGCCTGCAAAGCATATGCTCTACCATTGAGCTACATCCCCAGATATGGAGACAGCCTGATATGGAGATGAGTTGGCACAGTTAGTCCTTTTAAAAAGATGGGCAGATAATCTCTAGGGAATGAAACAGCCCTGGGTTCCTATGGTTTCAAATTCCAGTCACGGAACGTTCTTAAGCATTCCTCAAGGGACGTTTTGCACCAGTCACGTAACGTTCTTAAGTATTCCTCAAGGGACGTTTTGCACCATTAATATAGAATTGTCCTGCTGCTTTAGAGCTCAGTATCGTGCTAGCTTCCCAAGCCTTATTTATAGACATGATGAAGTACCACCTTCCTTCAAAATTCATCTTATTTCTGTGGTCTCCTACTCATCCATCCAAGAAAATATTTTAATTATATTCCACAAAGTCCCTATGCCTTCTATAGGGGAAGGGGAAAAAAATCTTTCTTCTTTTGTCCCCTAGTTTCTGTGACTGGAGCCTTGAAAATTAGACCAACAGAAAGTGGATTAACAAGATAAAAAAGAGAGTTTCTTACTAATTCCCTCCCACCTCCACCCCCCAAACACAATGGGGAGAAACCCACCAATGAGTAACTCAAAGGGGTGTTTAGAACAGGGGAACAATCAATCAGTGGGAAGTGACAAGACAAAGGAAGAGGGGTTTAGGTTTTTAGAGGTGCAAACTGGGGTAAGTAAATGTATAGGGGAAACCAGAGGGAGATAGGGGCTCTCCAGAGGGTCTGAGGGTGTAGAGTCTTCTCGGGATGATGCTACCTCCAGTGGAGGGTTGGCATCCCCTTCCTGGAACAGTGTGAGTTGGGAGCATCACAATGGGAATTTAGGGTCTGCTTCCAGGAAAACAGTTGCCTTCATCTCAAAATCATCCTTGTGCCAGAGTGCCGTATTTGGGGGTGGTGTATTCTGAACAACCTTCATATCCTTCCTGGGGTGAAGGTCAGAATAAGGGGTCTTGTTACTAAGAAGAAAAAGATGCAGGAGTTGACTTGTTGCCATAACAATACTCCCCTCAGGACAGGGAAATGGCATTCTGGATCTAACAGCCCACCCAAGTTACATGGCACTGCCCGGACCAGAGGAAGCAGCCTTGCTCTGAGGGCAGCATGCACGCTCCAGAAGGACCTAAGTCCAAGCCATGGAGAACCATCAGCACTTGATTTTCACTGGCTATGACGATAAAGATGAAATGTGATTTGATAAATAACATTTCCACAATGAGAGGACAAACAGGAATACCAGATGTAAATGAAAGAGCTATTCTTCGGTTTTGTCTGCTTGATTACCACAACCCATAATGCTGAATGCAGCATATCCCTTGATAGGATTATTAGCGTAGGGCTCTCTAAATATTTGATGAGCTCATTGGAGCCTTACAGAAAATCTAATTTCCGGGTTATCACTAACAGCATATTCTGGCTCTGACACTCCTTCTCTTTGCTAAGAAGATGCAAACTTTAAAGCACATTCCTGCTCTATCTTAGCAAATTTGGACATTCTTGGCCAAGATAAGATCAGAAGCTAAGAACAACAAATTCATTTATGAACTAATTCAATGATATAGGATACACTTACCTATATCAGTGAAAATAGTAGAGGACAAGGTCCAAAATAATAAAGGGTTACCAAAAGAAAAAATATATATATCTCCTTTCTTTTTAGCTCTGGTTCCAATAAAATGATGGCTTTAGAAAAACCTCTATCCTAATATTGTTTTCTATAATCCTAGATATTTAACTTCAGATGTATATACTGATATTCCTTTTGAAAAATATGAAAGTACAGAGTAATTCAAATATTGATTAAAATAAGTCCAAAATATAGATAATTCTCTTGAGCACGACTATCATTATAGTCTTTAAATCTCTTACCTTAATATTTCTGGGTCTTCATCCATCCGTGAAAACACAGCTAGTAAAACTAGATGTGACTGAGGTGCAAAATACTCCCTCTCTACCAGACCTCCATCCTACCATGTACTTTCCTATAAAATACTCTACACTAAAGACTCAGAGAAGAGAGTAGTGCCTCAAATGTTTATCCTATGACTGTGCCCAGGAGTAGGCATGCAGAATAAACCTAAAATAAATTACTTTAAATGCTTCTGGATAGTCATAGAAAATTTAATTTGTCCTGAAAAGACTTTTGAGTTTGAAACAAAATGAGCAAAATCAACAAGATTATGAAGGTTCCATATTTTCTTTCAGTCCATAAACGTAACATTCTTTCTGTAAAGTTATTCTCAGAGAGATTTATGCTTGTTTCCTTATATGTTGACTTAATTGTCCAGAATCCATGCATGTGAGGAATTCACCCTTGTGAAAGAGTGGGTTTCACTAGTTGTTCTGCTGCAAGATTATGGGACCTTATCCCGAGTTAGATGCTGAGTTAAGTCGAGCACGTTCGTTGCTACCACACAAGAAAGATTGACCATGCCCTGTTTCTTGTTTAAAGCACAGAAGTAGGAGAGCCTCCATGTGCCCACTATCTCTCTCCTCCACCCTCTGCCTTTTGCTGGCTTCTCTCCCTCTCATAAATGCTTTGCACATAAGGACTCATACATTTGTGATATGAAAATAAGCTTTCAAGATGCCTTCTCTTTCTTATCTGTGCATTTGCTCTGTGAAAAGCACTGAAAAGTACCAATTTAACTCTTGTTTTTGTTAAATGTAATTTGACAGAATAATAAGATTTTATAGCCAGTGTGCATGGATAAAATTTCATTGTGAAAGTCCATGGAATTACTTAAAAATGTATATTTTGCAACATATACTCAATCTTCCTCTATGATGAGGACAGAGAGACTTGAGAAACAGAACACTTGAGGACAATACATGAGCAAGCTTGCACTATATGATTAATTATTTTACTCTTTCAAATATCGTACTTAAGCCAAATATTCTTTTGTCACTAGGAATATGATTAAAAGAACTATTGTTCTCTCTCTCTCTCAAAAGCTCACAGTCTGGTAGAAAGAAAAACATATGTAGTAAAAAAATGCATGTGTTATGGTTCAGCTAAATAGCAGACAATGTGGACAAAGAACCCCAAAATAGTAGTGACTTAATCTTCCAGAAAAGGTTATTCTTCACACATACAAAATCTCTTAAAACATGTATGAGGTAAAGACAGGATCACAAATGGGAAGTCTCTGCCCCACATTGGTCCTTTGGGACTCAATTTGATAGTATCTTAACTGCCTTTATAGTCACTGGCCCCATCAACATTAGAAAGGGGAATGTGGAGAAACATCTAGGGTTCTTCATTGTTGTGGTCTGGAAAAATCTGGCAAGAATACAAGAGTCACAGGAAGTACAGTCTTCCATGTGCACAGGAGGGAAAGAGAATATAGATAGTACTAAACATCAGAAGTATCTACCACAAGGAGTGCTTGAGTAAAGCAATATGAAACATTGACCTTTCAGTAGTTTGTGAAAGGGTGGGTGGGAGAACCCATGGGGCACATAAGGAAATGTTCCAGACTCCTTGCTGGCCAATGAGCCAGTGACATCTACTCCCTCCCTCAGCTGGTAACTGGCAACACTCTGATGTCATCTCAAATAATGATCCTCCCCCCACACACAAGAAGTCTGGGTACTAATACCCAGACCTGTAAGTTTGTTACTTTCCATGGTGAAGGGGATTCTGTGGATGTGAGTAAATCAAGAATCTTGAGACAGAGATTATCCAAGAGGATACAGGTGGGTCCAATGTAATCATAAGGGTCCTTACAAGGGAAAAGAGTAAGATAAGGAGTTCTGCGACAGGAGTAGGGGTCAAAGTGACGTGATGGCTTTGAAGATGGAGGAAGGGGCCAGAAGCCAGGGGATGCACGTACCTCTGGGAGATGAAAAAGGCAAGGAAATGGATTTTCCCTTAGAACTTCAGAAGGAACTAAAATGCTGACCCCTTAATTTTAACAAGTTTTAAGTTTTAGGCGTTCAAAATAACCGATTATTTGCCTCTAGTCATCATTTTTGGTTGGACATTCTGTACATGTCTAGTAGACTCTCACCAAATCTTAGCAAATCTTCAGGGCCCATATCAAACACCAATTCCTCCATAGCCCTTTTCAAAAGACTTGAACAAATGTTTAAAAGAGTTGTGGTATCTCTTCAGGTAGTTTGCACATTATTTCCTTACACATTCTAGATTTAACTTTTCTTCTTTTAAAGTATTTCTTACAATTTGAGTTGTATATATGGTTTGAAATGTATATATTATATAAAATATGCAATGACTTAATTTTGTGTATATTTCTTTTTTTAATGCCTTACATAGAATTAGGCACATGATGAAACTTAAAAATTTCTTAATGAATTTAACATGTAAATCTTATTATATCTGTATATATATATAAAATTTCTTAGTTCTAGTTTTGGAATTTTAAAGTTCTAAAGGAAGGCTTTAAAATCCTTTCTAAATTTCATATTCAGCTCACAGAATCAGAAAAAAGTTTATAAGCATAAAATATGAAATAATGGCATCAAGACTATAGACTTACACAAATACAAAGTCATAAAATCATAAACTTATGCTGTTTTAAGGCATGAAATTTGTGGCAATTTGTGACAGCAACAATCATAAGGGAATATACCCTGCCACCTCTTTTGGCCACTGGCTGGGGCACAGGTTCCCTATCCACGTCTGGTGTGGGTGGAGAGGGGCTCAGGGTGATGTGGAAAATGGAAAAGGACACAGCGGGGGAAGGGAGTTTCTTTCTTAGTCTATTCTCACAATCATGGGATCTGGCCCCCCTTTGGATCCAGTCTTCTGTTATGGGGTAAATTGTGACCCTCAATGTTCAGATACCAAAGTCCTAACTTCAGCACCTCAAAAATCTGGTAACAGGGTTATTGCAGACATAATTAGTTAAGATGAAGATGCACTGGAGTCGGATGGACCCTAATCCAGTATGACCAGTGTCCTTATAGAAGGGAACTCTGGATACAGACACACACACACACGAGAATTCCATGTGAATACAGAGGTAGGGTGATGAATCTACCAGCTAAGGACTGCAG